TAGAAGTCCGATCACTGAAAGGAATCTTACAGAGTATATGCAAGATTTTAATTTTTAACATTTTTTCATTTTAAATTACGACTTGTCCGACTATTTTGTTTACTAGTATACATACATAGGGTGCCCATCCAATTTTTTTATTTTTTTATTTCAAGGCCCTAACCCCTAATTTCCTTTCTTTTTATGGGAAATATTATTGCCAAAGTTCGCGACTTGTCATTTTAGGTCAGAAAATATGGTTTTGTAGATTTATCAGTTTAATTGTACTACATATTTTGTAATTGTATAAATAAGGAATCGTCAAAACTTAAAAAAATAAGAAAATATAAATTTTTTTTATTTGCTCAATGAAAATCGCGACAATCCAAGAATGACAGTAGATTATTATACATCATTTTAAAGGCCTATAAATCCTCTTCTCACAACATGTTCGATCTTTAAAATTTAATGAAAAATAGTCATTCAAAACTGATAAATGTACAAAACCGAGTTTTCTAGCTTAAACTGAAATGAAATGAAAGGTATATTTACCCCCTACCCCCTAAAATTGTTATATATAAGGAGAAAATATTCATCATTTAATATAGACTCAATTGACCCAGATTAACCCATGTCACAAACGAGTTGGAATAATGAACCATGTATCGTGGTTCTGTGCGTTATTATCTACTTACTCGTACATATAATAAATCCTAAATATACATACACATTTTAAAGAAACAAAATCAAACTTATTTTAAACCGACTTCACAAAAAGACGAAGGCTATCAATTATCAATTCGTCGGAATATTTTTATTTACGAATTTTACCGCATAACTTTGGACCACGTCAACCGATTTCTATAATTCTTTTTTTAAAGGAAAGGTGTTACTCCACAGGTGGTCCCATACTAATTTGGTTAAAATCCGATCATTGGAACATGAAGAAATTAACGATAATCTTAAATTTGTATATGAGAATGGAAGTCGGTTTTTTTTGCTTAAAAATTACTTGTCCATTTATTTTTGAATGATGGGGTGAACAGAAATAATTTTGTTTTGCATCATACTATGTTTTATACAATAGTAACCGTGAAAAGGCCGCTAATAAGGTGGCAAGCCAAAGGCAGCACTGACGCAAAGTGATACTGTCGTTATCTCAACTTCGACCCGTCTGTGGCACGGTTTAGACTTGATTAATTGAGCCAAAATTTTTAGGGAATTACCTTTTCAATAAAGGTAACCATTTCAAGGGGTAGCACCTGCAAATTTCCGATTTTCAAAAGTAAGGGCCACTTTAATGTACATATATAAGAAAGAAGCCGTAAGGAGTTTTGTTTTTAATTAGCTATAAATTTTTAAAATCAATTAGGGTTTGGCTGAGACATTAGACTTTGACCAATATGTTCTGCACTTTTTCTAGTACTAAAATTTAAGAGAGATATCACATCATGGGATAAATTTTATTGATGGTTTGATTGGGTCTGCATATATATACATATATATTTATATACTAGTGAACAAAAAAGCCCGACAAGACGTTCCCTAGATTGCTCCACCATTTCTCAAGACAAATTAACTATTTATAAATGGTTGTAAACAACGAAAGGTTTTCTCTTAAATTACATATATAAGTATTTTTCATCGGGCAAACAGAAATAAAGTTACGAGCAAGTATGTGCTTCAAACTATGAAAAACGCGTTTTTTACCTTCAGCCCAGATTTTGAGGGTGTATTCAAAATTCTGAGTACCTATGCGTATATATTATTTTTGTTTATTCCACTTCAAATCTTACGAAATCATAAATGCAAAAGTACGGTTGACACCGGATCAGCTGTTTAAGTATTTATGACCAAATGGTTAAATCGTGTGAATGAATGTGGACAATATTTGTCACTTTACTGTCGTGCGCAAATGTGTGCCAAAATTTGGATCTTTGGCAGCCAAATCGTCTGATCGCAAAATAAATTATTTGTACATCGCTATCCAAATGCGAAAATGTGGACAAATCTAATTTTGGCATTTTGTGTACAAATGTACAAATCGTGTGATCCCTGCTTAAGACGCACGAAGACGATAATATCATAAATGTTGCGATGTCGCAGCATTGCTTATGTTCTTTTTTGTTGTAGAAAATGCCTATTCATTAATGCGCAAATGAACAAATTAAGAAAAAAGAAGGTTCAAGATCTGAGAGTTGTTTAGCTTACGGTGGTAGAAGTAGTAGAAATTAGAGTTGGGATACTAGCGATAGTAATATCGATAGTTGAAAACTGGCGCCACTAGCGATAGTTTTCGAAAACTATCGATGTCGGTTTTAGCGAAACTTCAAAATGTCTCTTCATTAATGTCTTCATTTTTTAATGCAGTAAAATTCACAACAGTCGGCAAAAAAAATTCAAGTCATTGGAATTTTTAGCAACTATAAGCTTACACTGAGTTATAGTAAAATTTAATAAGCTATAAAACAGCTTACACAAAATTTTTGTAGAAGTTCGAATGAAAAAGCTTGAAATTTAATGATTTTATAGTTTATTATGTTTTGTACAACTTTTATAAAAAATTAGTAGACACTAAATAGTCAAAACTGCTAAAAATTTTGTAGTGATATTATTTTGAGCAGTACTATATTCGTTTTCTTATAATCTGGTAAAATATTAATAATTTCCCTTCTTCGGATTTTGATATGCGCCTCCGTATTTGATTTCAGTTGAACTCTTATAAGTATGCGTAGTCAATTTAAATGAATATATTTTGTGTTTTGTTTGTTTTGTAGTATTAGAAATGTATTATTATAGCCAATTTCACTCTTTGCACTTCAAAAGGGACAAACAAAATCCGAATTTAATTTTTTCATATAAAAACTATATGCAGATTTTGCCTGTCGCTATTCAATACCCTTCACGACGATAGTACTAGCGATACTAGCAGTTATGACGTCTTTTTGCATTTCAGGTCACGATATATTCGTTTCAATCACTTCAAATGAGGCTCTTTGGGGAATTTATTTTAAGGAAAAATTTTAAAAACAGTAATTCTTTTTACTTGTCGGGCAATATTTTTTTCATAGATTAATATGTACACTGGATCCTTGCTTGAAGGCCTCTGTGGTAAAACACTCCCCCTACGTCTCCCTTCTTTGCTATTTAAAATGAAAGACTAAGCTCCTACAATAGGGATTTCCAGCAGAAATCTTCAACATTTAGCTATAAAGAGAATCAATACTGAAATATTTAAACGGCTATAGGTCTAACCTTTAATTAGGTAAGAATTACGTAACTATCTGAAACCCTCATCATTCGTGATTCCAATAATTCAAATGCTTATAAAAAAACGGGGTGCTTTTTTCAAAAAATAACAATATTCTGATCCGATTCGGCTGGCAGCCAGGATCTTAAAAACATAATTTTGTTCAAAATTGTCATTCCTGGAAAATAATAATTTATTTTCCATATCCGAAAATAATAATTTATTTTCCATATCCACCTATCTAGCTCGTTATAAGCACAAATTCTTCACACCAGTCGCAGAAGAAACCATTAAAAATTAATTACAAAAACTAAAATCGAAAAACGCTTATGACGTTACAAGTTCCCCAAATTCTGAAACTGCCAAAGGAATGAGAATGAAGAATTCTTTTTAAAAGGCTTCAGAAAAACCTGACACATCTGGTTTGGTTTGTAAGCGATGTTTAAACAACGATCTCACCATTATGCTAGATTCTTCAGGTGAACATGAAAGTCAGGAGGATACATCCGACATTTGCAGCCCCCGATGCAATTCTCATAAAATTTTCAATTTTTAAATTCAAGTACTAAATAAAGTAAACATGATTAAAAATTACTAACTTTTAAATTTTTTATTTATCTAAATAACTTAGTTTATTACCTGGTTATTTCTTAAAAATACTTGACATCCGCATTCGCATTCGCGGATGTTAGCTGTTAGACATCCGCATTCGCATCCACGGATGTCTAAAATTTCTCATTCGCAACATCCCTAGTATATACATAAATATCAGCTCGAAACTACATATGTATTTGTGACAAGAATTATCCACATAAGATGAAAACTACTGAAGTTTCATTTTATACAATTTTTGTTTATAGAAAAATGTAAGAAAGTTCGGACACGGTTCGGTTATTTGTACAATGGTTTTGTGTTATCGTGTCCAAACACGTGACCCGAATCAAAAAATTTTAACATATACGTCTAGTCAAGGATTAAGCTTTAGTTCAAAAGAAAAAGATTGCGGTTTGAAATATGCATTTTTTTTGTAAATTTGGAGGTGGATTTTGCGCAAAAATACTGTGGATGGCGTAATCGGAGTTGGACTGATGAGGTTATTTTTTGTAGGGCGGAGTTTTGCGCAAAAATAGTGCTGATGGCCTAACAAGAGTTTAGTTTTTCTTTGCGAAAATGCTAGTTTTACCCTATTTGGAAATGGGCCCCGGAGTGCCTGTAAAAGGGGCAGGGAGGCGAAGGATGAATTTTCTTTAAGTTTATACTGTGCTCTTTCTAATGAGTTTTAGGCGACACACCCTCCGCTCCCCACCAAAAAATCATTGTACAAATAACCGAACATTTCCCACGCACAACATTAAATCCCCAGATGTATTGTTTGATTACTATCAATGTGACAAGGTAGCTCATAATTTTGTACACTTTATGAAACTTTAAAAACACATTTTTTGTAAAAAATTTTGAAACGAAACTACCTTCTTTTTGTATCATGGTAAGAATTTGAAAAAAAAATCTAATCAGCTGCTCTAATGATACTACCTGGTCAATGTGCCTTGGTATATAGACAATTTCATTATAAAATTCTAATAAGGTACATACTTAAATTTCAAAAAAAAGATATATATATATAAATATGTTTAATACATTTGCATGTACATATATTCAGAAAGCCTTTTCTTAACTAGGGGAGTATATATTTTAATTATCCAGGTTGTAAATTTAAAATTGATAATCAATAAAGTTCATATTCATGCAAAGGATGCAGCGGGATACTTACAGCTCTGCCAGCTTCATTATTATGCAAATTCATTTTTTCTCTTAAATTGCGTCCACGTTCTCCGGTGTCTACGAAATCACGTGAAAATTTAAAACCAAATCCAATATTATCCGAACAACCCCCCCATTCCCAGTCGCGAACACCTGCTACGCTGCCAAGTTGGCTCGTTTGCGGCGATCGCGACTGATGGCTGTAATCACAGGTGCACGATTCAATGGAGCCCTCGCTGCAGGCGCGCGCAATGGAATGTGTGACAGCGGCACTGGTGATGGCATAAATAAAGCCTGTCTCACGACAGCCTGAAAGAAAATATATGTTTATAAAAGAATAAATACACAAAATATTGAATAGATGCACATCCATTATAAAGGTTTGTATATTAAAGTGGCAGCATTTATGTACAGATGTAAAATATAACTGCACGTGTATTTATAATAGGGATGCTCTTATAAAAAAAAAAAATATGTATATATTTTGCATCTTTGAGAAGTTCTTGCGACATATATATTAAATGGAATTATTCATATTCGAACATTACAATTTATATCTCCTTATAAATACTTAGGAGACTGACAAGGCGTGTTAAACTGGTATAAATTTATATCTCCTTATAAATACTTAGGAGACTGACAAGGCGTGTTAAACGTATATGATGAAAACGAATTATATATTATTGGAATTCATGGAAACGCGTAAATGCCTCGTAACCGCGTAAACCTCGTAAATATACCGATTTTCCATACATAATTAAGTAAGTTTACGAGGTTTACATGCATGGGTGTAGCCAGGTAGGGGCAGGGGGGGCCCGGGCCCCCCCCCCTAACTTCCAAATTTTTGCCTAGATATTCAAAAATAGTACCAAGAAATGCTTGCTTGATAATTTCGGCCCCCCTAAATTTCAAGGTTTTTCCTATATATATACTGTAAAACAAATTATACTCCCAACGCTAACAAAATTATTAGTAAATTGATTTAAAAAGTGGATATGTGGATCATCCGGTTCTGTATCAAATTATTATCTCTAACTTCAAAGCATTTCATTTTAAAAGGGTAAAAACCTGGCTGCAGTCGACAATGAGCAAAAATTTATTGAACGGAAGCTATAAATAAATTTATAGTTCAATTGTTTATTACTTTGTCTTTAGGTTTGTGTCTTTTCTAAGCGTACAACGAAAGTTTTGTATCACAGAACCAATCTGAGATTATTGGTAAAACTATAGACCGGTTGGGTGAACAGCAAAGACGTTTACTTCTTAAGTGTGACAAAACAAAATCAAGTAATATATTAAGCATACTCAAAATGTTCAATACGCCCTCATATTTATACATACATACATATGTATATCATCTAACGTTTTGTCCGGCTATTTGGTTTATTATACAGGTATGTAGAACTATGAATTTAAAAAATTCATCAGGGTTTAGTTGAGATATTCGTTTTTCACCACTATGTTTTGTACGTTTCACAGTACTGCAAAGCTTTTGACTGCCATTCACCTGGGAGTGGCCAGAAGTGATTTGTGTGCTTACGGTTCAAATCGCAGCTAACTACGGCCGGATATTTTTATCCATTAATACTCTGGGTAGCGACCGAACGCTAGTTTGGGAGCGAGGTAAAGTGGGAGGGCGTAACACCCCGCGTGCGCTGGGTTTGAGTCCCGCAACGTTAAAACCCTGCCCAATAAAAAAAAAACCCATGCCTCGGATGATACCCCCTTCTTTTGTTGGCGATTACGACAAACATAGGAAGGAATATGATTTTAGGGTATGCACTTGGGNTACCGATTTTCCATACATAATTAAGTAAGTTTACGAGGTTTACATGCATGGGTGTAGCCAGGTAGGGGCAGGGGGGGCCCGGGCCCCCCCCCCTAACTTCCAAATTTTTGCCTAGATATTCAAAAATAGTACCAAGAAATGCTTGCTTGATAATTTCGGCCCCCCTAAATTTCAAGGTTTTTCCTATATATATACTGTAAAACAAATTATACTCCCAACGCTAACAAAATTATTAGTAAATTGATTTAAAAAGTGGATATGTGGATCATCCGGTTCTGTATCAAATTATTATCTCTAACTTCAAAGCATTTCATTTTAAAAGGGTAAAAACCTGGCTGCAGTCGACAATGAGCAAAAATTTATTGAACGGAAGCTATAAATAAATTTATAGTTCAATTGTTTATTACTTTGTCTTTAGGTTTGTGTCTTTTCTAAGCGTACAACGAAAGTTTTGTATCACAGAACCAATCTGAGATTATTGGTAAAACTATAGACCGGTTGGGTGAACAGCAAAGACGTTTACTTCTTAAGTGTGACAAAACAAAATCAAGTAATATATTAAGCATACTCAAAATGTTCAATACGCCCTCATATTTATACATACATACATATGTATATCATCTAACGTTTTGTCCGGCTATTTGGTTTATTATACAGGTATGTAGAACTATGAATTTAAAAAATTCATCAGGGTTTAGTTGAGATATTCGTTTTTCACCACTATGTTTTGTACGTTTCACAGTACTGCAAAGCTTTTGACTGCCATTCACCTGGGAGTGGCCAGAAGTGATTTGTGTGCTTACGGTTCAAATCGCAGCTAACTACGGCCGGATATTTTTATCCATTAATACTCTGGGTAGCGACCGAACGCTAGTTTGGGAGCGAGGTAAAGTGGGAGGGCGTAACACCCCGCGTGCGCTGGGTTTGAGTCCCGCAACGTTAAAACCCTGCCCAATGAAAATAAAACCCATGCCTCGGATGATACCCCCTTCTTTTGTTGGCGATTACGACAAACATAGGAAGGAATATGATTTTAGGGTATGCACTTGGGATATCCGAACCCTTAATAGTGATGGTGCCTCTGCCCGGCTGGTTGAAGTCCTAGGGAAAATAAAGGCTGACATCACCTCCATCCACGAAATGCGATGGACGGGGCGAGGAAGGTAAGCGTGAGCCTTGCGACGTCTACTACAGTTGCCACGTAAAGGAGTGCAATTCGGTGTTGGATTTGTGGTGGGAGAGAGACCGGCGTTCACTCTAGTGGACGAAAGTCTAGCCACAATCCGCATCAAAGCGAAAATCTTCAGCATTTCATTCATATGTGCCAATGTCCCGATGGAAGAGAAGGACGAGGCATCCAATGCTCTCTTAGCTTAGAGCGTACATATTAGCGCTGCCCCCGACACGTATANAGACCGGTTGGGTGAACAGCAAAGACGTTTACTTCTTAAGTGTGACAAAACAAAATCAAGTAATATATTAAGCATACTCAAAATGTTCAATACGCCCTCATATTTATACATACATACATATGTATATCATCTAACGTTTTGTCCGGCTATTTGGTTTATTATACAGGTATGTAGAACTATGAATTTAAAAAATTCATCAGGGTTTAGTTGAGATATTCGTTTTTCACCACTATGTTTTGTACGTTTCACAGTACTGCAAAGCTTTTGACTGCCATTCACCTGGGAGTGGCCAGAAGTG